CTCATGTCCATTACAGTTGACATTCGTAAAAGGGCTATTATTTTTTCTAACAAAACGTTTAGCTGAACTCTGACCCCAATTTATAATTCCTAACATATTCATAAACAAGAAAATATTTGATTACCATAGGTAAAAAAATTATATCTTAACAATATTTAACTTACCTTTTCTCTTTTCCTGGCATGTGCGTTTTGTTGCAGTCTCCATTTTGTCTCAGGATGAATACAAAGTTCCCCTCATCCCACCCAAACACATGACATATCATTGGAAAGGCCAGGATGTCCTCTTTTCAGCACATCAGGACTTAGTAGCTCAAATGAGTCATAAGATACAGACCAAAAACAAATGTCCACTAAAGAGGACACAAAAGAATAGGCTGGGTCTCAGGAGGCTAGAGTAAACCCCTCCTGGATCTGATACAGGAACCCAGTTATCTCCCCTAGGGATAAACGCGTGGATGACAAATTAAAGCAAAAACTAGCATAAAGAGACCAACAGATACTCTTAGTGACATGAAAATATAAAGTACAAAACGAACTCCAGTTTAATTTGTTCGTTAAATAGTCAATCTTTGTTCGCACAACCTCCCAAGTTTTAATCCTCTGCCGAGTGTGTGAACACTGTCAGATGACGAGCTGCTTTGTGGTGTCGAACTGATGATAGAAAAGCTATTTCATTCATTCTGTTCCAATGTGCTGCGGGTTAGGGAACAGCACTGTGTGAATACAGCTCATCATGGTCATTATTAACAGAGAGAGTGGGGCGCTCGAGGTCAAGACAGAGCTCAGGTTGAACACGGAGCTCTCTCTCACCAAGACTTCAGGGAGGGGTTTTAACAATAATGAAGGTCAGAGAAGGCAAGCTGGAAAATTGCTATAATCTAGCAGGTAATGTCATTTAGGTGAGAAGCTTGGTGTTTTAAATTGCCCTCCTTGTGTCTGCCTCCCATCTGCTGTAGCACCTGGGAAACTGCATTGAAGATCTGGATTAGTAACACACATCTCAAGGCCCAGAGCAAAGAGATAAAGTGTCAACTATACAGCATTACTGTGGGAATTTTGATTTAACGTCTAAGGCTACGAATGGAACTGATCAGAGCGTCAGTGGGCTGCCCTGCTCTCAGCAGCATTAGCATATCCTCCTCATTGTAATACAACCTTCAAGTCCCCTCTGTTGCTTTCAGTGCACTTGAAAACAGCTGTCATGTGCAACAAAGGTGGAACCTTTTCTAAATCGAGGATGCTGCGTGTGCTGCTGACACACACAGTTGTTGAGGCATGAAGTTAGCAGCGCTGCAAGGCCATACTTACTGAAGGCCCACTGTTGCAATTCTTCATCCATATATTTTGATTCATTCTAGCATTTAAAATAAATGTCCATAATCCAAACAGCCATTAAAATGATGATTAACACATTTCACGTGCTAAAACATCAGCAAAGCTTCAGGCTTTGGTCAGTGTAGATGTGTAACTACCTACAAACTGTATAAATAGGTAGAATTAAAGGACTTGTGAACTGACACTAACTGAAATAATTCAAAACAAGGCAAAGAATCTAGTGGCTGAGTTAGGCTGTACCGAAGCACAGCAGTCCTTTGAGCTAAATGCTAATCCAGCATGCTAATATACGCGTGGAATAAACTCCAATTCTCTTTTATGATCATTCCATGATCAACCTGGAAGCTGTTCTGGTCTGCCGTCTTGAAGGATGTCTCAAAGCTCACTGCGATGTCATGCACATGTGTGAAAATGACAAATCAGAGCCTGGAAGATGTGTCGAACAAGGCCACAGAGCGAGGAGAGGCAAAGACAAAAGTGTTCAAGAAACCTGAATAAGCAAAAGTTTAAAGAAACATTTTAAAGTACCTCAGTCAGTTTGCAGAAAAGCTGAAGAGGTTGCAGTAGCTGCCGGGGAGAAGATGCGCAATTTAAGAAGTGCCACTAGCTTGGGCAAACACTACGTGGGCCACATCTGTGGAATTAGAATGGGCCCGGCTTTGCTGAGGGTCTCGTTCCTGCCTGGCTGAGCGGCCCCTGAATAATTTATGTGACACCACAAGGTTAGAATAAACCAGAGGAACACAACTCCTCTCCTCACATTCAGTACTGTACAGTTGTACTGGAGCACTGGTAGAAGCTCGTGCATCACTTCCTGCTCACAGATTTCACACACCACCTCCGTTAGTCGTGCTGCCATTTTTCAAATTTGGTGGCTGATTTCAGTCTGAATCTTGCAACAGACTACACCCTTGTTTGTCCATTTACTTTATTAGTAGAGTTTTCAAACACCGTGCTGAAAAGACTGTTGATGTGGCTGGTTTTGCCTCATGTTATGCGAGTCACTGACAGTCAGAAGAATATCACCAGATTTGGTGCTTACAACATGTGACCACTACATTTCTCATCCTCATACCATTCTCAGCTCTAACGGTTCAATAATCCTAATCTTTCACATGATGGAGAGAGACGGGACTCCAAACACTCAGCTGTATCACAACATAGTGCAAAGTATTCATACATATTCATGCAATTGTTCCAACCTCAGTGCAGCACATGAGTGGTGCCTATAACCTAAACTGAGCCAGACATTATGTTGTCATGGTAATGTCGACTGCGGCATCATGTCTGTCTTCCCTCTCTCTCTCTCTCTTTTTGTCCCATCCTATCTTTGAATCTGTCTTTCTCTCTCTTGCTCATATCACAAACAAATGATGGCGAATACTGCCATGATGCAGCTGATGTCAACCGTTGCCATGGAAACCCGGCTCTCAGCTTTGACGTCGAACATGAGGAGGGGTCCGGCAGCGTCTGTGTAATACTGTCCATGATCAAAGCTGCTATTCAGGAGGGTGTAGGTTTGATTTCAGAAGTGTGGGCGTCACAGTGCAGGCTCTTCAATCAAAAACGAAAATGATAATAAAATAAAACTACTGCTGTTTCCTGCATTTATATACTGTGCAAACATTTTAGACATTTTAGAAGTTTAGATTGTTATCTGTGGCTTCTGATTGGTCCCAAATTCATTCTGCAGAATGATAACGAGCCCAAACGTGCACCCAGAGCCATAAAGAACAATGTTCAGAGACTAGAACAAGGGGTTTAGCAGCAGATGGTCTGGCCTCAACAGAGCCCTGGTCTCAACATCATGGGGTCAGTGTGGGACTACATAAAGAGACAAAAGACACAGAGACAGCATGAATCCACAGACGAACCATGGCAGCTTCTCCAAGATGCTCGACAACCTGCCTGTCAAGTCCCTGGAAACACTGTGTGCAGATGAGTTTAAAGGCCACAGCAAATATTGATGTAGGTGTTTGCTCCACTTTGCTTTAGGTGCCATAGAATGTTTGCACAGTACTGTACACATACAGACGGACAACAAAACAAAGTAAAACCCTGGATAAATGAGTGGTCAGAGCCCCCGTCCACAGCATACGAGGAGTCACTGACTGGTCTAATGAGGATGACCATGATGTGAACCAGATAGTGTGGAGATGTTGGAGCGGCGTGTTGGAGCGGCGTGTTGGAGCGGCGTGTTGGAGAGCGTCTCCACCACCATTATCAAAGCACCACATGAGGGAACATCTGCTGGATGAACGGTGTTCATCCCTCCAGGAGAGTCGGTGCCAAGGTGGAGCTGTTCTGGTGGCACACAGTTCGACTCTTAGCTTTACCGACTTCCTTCTTAACCAATGAGGCACATTTGTTGTTCTAGCAGCACTGTGCGTTATCTTACTAACTGCACAGCAACACAGTCTCCAAACACACACTTACAACAAACAGAACCATCAACATGACTCACCTCTCAATGCTATGTAATACTATGCACATCACTCTAATAAAACATCTTTTCTTGTTATTTTTGCTTGATTTAATAGATTAAAGCACTGGTTACTTCTCTGCAGAAACAGAAACTTTCTTATTATTCTATTAATGGAATTATAAGCGCCAAGTGTGTGTATTTGCACAAAATGATTAAATGAAACACAAACCACAGACATATGAAGCACCATCTGTAGCCCTGTGACCCTAGAACCAGGTTTTCTCACCGCTCCTGCTCTGGTACAGGGTGGCGTGATGACACAATTACCTCTGCACCCTCACATAAACCCGAACCGCTTGTCAACACACCTGGATCTGCTCTGACAAAAGACTCCTGCTTCCTTACAAATCATTCACAAATTCAACCCTGGCCAACTCCTGAATCATGGGACGATATAAACAGCTTTGTGAACAGTTATTTTCCCATTACAGTGTGTGATTTAGTTAATGTATTAATCTATTCCACACAAAGTTCATCAAAGCAAGCAAACAACTGGTTATTACTGGTCTTCAGGCAGCATAAATCTTCTATATCAGCCAGTTACAGCAAACTCATGAGTCAAGGAAGAGAGTGAAAAGCAACCGGAGACAACTGACTGTGCAGCCCTACGCACACCCAGCTTCATCTAGTAGCAGTATATAAACAATAAATGATTCATAACACTACAATGTGGTTATAAGCAGATTATTAATGTTTTTATTCAGTTATTTGTAAAGAACTATTACTCCTCCTGTAAACATCTGGGGTTAATACTTTGGAGCCGGTTATTGTTAATGGGTCGAAAAGGCTGAATTCAGACCCTCCCACTGCTCTGCACATCTTTTAGATAATGGATTTATCAAGTGGAACAAATTGTGAAACGTTTTGCGTTACTCATTTGGTAGGCAGTTCTATGAGTCCTAGCTTTCGAACTTTACTCAGATGTATTTACAAAGTCCTTATTTTAAATGTATAAGTTATTATCGATGAAGTAATCAAAAGCTGAACACCAAGTAATATCTCGATGGCTGTTCCAGTGACAGATTTATGACAAGTGTGCACATGATTTAATGGAGCTATTCCTTCATGTTTCTTACTTGTTGCCCAGTTTTTAATGGACTCTAGTGAATACCACTGGTTTGTGTGCATGGAGCTACGGGATAAACATAGCGTGCAATGAAAAAAGAAACCCCACTCACCTGGATCATGTAGAGCTGAGCGATGCGGTATTCCTCCACGCTCATCGGCATGGGGATACGATACTCCTTGATCAGCATGGTTGTGCTGGAATTGGCCCGACTCTGTGTGCGTGTGTGTTAAGAAGGGAAGGAGAGTAACAGGGTATACGAGGTTAGGCGCTCCCCTCAGTCAGCTTTGCTACCCAAGTAGCATGTCCCAGCAGTGGCGATGGGAGTCACCGTTGCTCACACCTGACAGAGAAGAAGAAAGTCTGTCAGTGGGGAGAGAGCATCAGGAACAGATACAGAGTAGAAATATGTAGATTTTAGCTTCCAGTCTTATTTAGCATGTTTACCTAGAGGACTAAACCCCCTCACATACACAAGCCAACACATCCTGTGTGTGTCCTCCAGCCAGCCCTCCTGTAGATCTATTACAAGGTAATCCAATGACCTAGTAGCATCCCTGAAATCCCCCACCAACCTAAATCCCAACTGTGGCCACACACTGAAGACTCAGCCAAGCTGTGGTCAGTGAAGCCTTTAAGTCCAACCAAGCTCATCCACAGTGGTGGAGGTACAAACCTGAGGTACTGGTAGTTCATGTGAGTAGGTAACTTTCCTGCTACTGGTATTTCTTCTCATTTACTGGATATTTCCCACATTTCACAAAGAAAATGTGATCCTTTGTGCAATTAAAATAATTTCAGTTCTTAAGACCTTAAAGCCTGCAGTAATTGTTTTGGCCACGTGGGGGCAGCAGAAACAGGTTAGGAACACAACACTGACGTATCATAATTTTGTGGTTTGCAAACAGTTGCTTATCATACAGTACCACCTCCTCCTGAGGAAAATCTCTGACGCTTCAGCTGCTAAATGCCTCGCTGTGTTCACCTGCTGGTCTCTGACTGTGTCTGTGTGCTGTCTGCTGCTGAGCAGGTCGTGGACAATCTTCTCTGAAAACAGCTGCTATGAGAGTGAACTAAAGGCTAACTGAGCTGAAACTCTAAAGCTCTGTGAAGCTGAGAGGAACTTCAGGCTGAGCTGATCACTCTCTGTAGATTCCACCGTCCTCACACCGCCACACTGTTTCACAACGCGAGTTGAAAATGGTTATAGAAATATTGTAAATAGCATAAGAACATCTTATTTTCTTTAAAAACGTGAATAAATCTTCTAGTTCTGCAAGAATATTACAATTCCTCTTGCTTTTGGATTGATTCCGCTTGCAAATGGATTGAAGTAGTGCACAAAATCAAGTTTAGTTTTATCATAATTCCTGTGGAGCAAAGCTATACGTTTGTTTATGGAATATTTTTAAAGAAGAGCTGCAGAGACACATCTTATGGATAAACAGGCTTTTATAGGCCTGTATCATGTAGAGAACACCATCAAAGAAACCGGTGTCTGCAGAATGATTCAGTATACTTTGTTTTGTAATACATCTTTATTGTTATGATCCTGAATGCAGGACTAGAACTTATGTCACAGCAACGGCTTCGAATACTTTCACCACCTCTCCACTGATCTGTTTCTCCATCCGCGTCCACAAAGGAAGTAGTATTAAGGGTAACGGCTCGCCACTCCCTAAAAAAACACCCATTTACTCTAACAGTAACAACTGAACATGATGTTTATGGGCTGCTGTAGTGTACAGTGCCTTGCGAAAGTATTCGGCCCCCTTGAACTTTGCGACCTTTTGCCACATTTCAGGCTTCAAACATAAAGATATAAAACTGTAATTTTTTGTGAAGAAGCAACAACAAGTGGGACACAATCATGAAGTGGAACGAAATTTATTGGATATTTCAAACTTTTTTAACAAATAAAAAACTGAAAAATTGGGCGTGCAAAATTATTCAGCCCCCTTAAGTTAATACTTTGTAGCGCCACCTTTTGCTGCGATTACAGCTGTAAGTCACTTGGGGTATGTCTCTATCAGTTTTGCACATCGAGAGAC